AGCCTCTTTTAGTCTGGAACTCTCTCCAGCCTTTCTCAGTATTTTATGACATTTAACGTGTTTAAATAATACAGACCCCCTGAATATCTAAAAATAGAGTGTTGTTTATTTTGTGTTTTTCTGATTAGTCCACCATGATTAGATTCAGCTTAAGCATTCTCAGCTCATTCTGCTCAAGTGAGGCTGTGTTTTCCTCAGGATATCTTATCTGCCCTCCCGCAGTCTCTCCCAGCCTTCCATTGTGATGCTCATTTTGAGCACCTATACAAGCTATTGTCTTATTCTCCACTCTATAGTTATGTTTTGTTTTTCTCCCTTGAAACTTATAAGTAGTCTGTAATGATAAACCTTACTGCCTTGCAACTATCCTGCTCCTTATCAAAACTCCCCCCAGGTTTATCATCTATTGAAGATGCTTGCCTGATCCAATCATTACTGAGGATGTTTGCAAAATAGTGATTTGCCAGCTCTGTCACTCCCTGCATATTTGCCAGTTAGCTCTTGGTATTCTACTGTAAACAAGAGACCTCCCTTGTTATCTGTCTATCATCTATTTTATAAGCGTGGCTCATTAATCCCTAGATTTTCAATGGTTTGTAATTCAGTACTCAACTATTTCGGTGCTCAAATTGCCCCAGACTTGACAGTGAAGTTGTATTTGCATGTCCCTTCTTCCACAGTAAGAACTTGGCTCCCAACAATAACAACATGTTTAGTCATTTGCTCAATCCTTTAATACATCCAAAATAGTTTCATAATTACTTTGTCCATGCTTCTACAATCAGCAAACCACTAAAAAGGGTTCAGGTTTGTTTTCAATTCTTTCCCCACCTCAATGGCCCGTACTTTTCTCCCCAAAATGAGGCTATGTAGGCAACTACTGTGTTCATTTACTTGNGGTACTATTATATCGTAAGGGGTAACATGAAAAGGACAGGCAAGTTTTGGAGTGACTCCAGTGGCAAATCAGGAATTAATTATTCCATAGCTGATGAAAATAGTTAATCTGAAACCCAAATTGTGTCCTGACAAACACCTCTACCTTTCTGCCTCTTCTTGAACACTGCTGCTGGACCACAGAAGAAATATGTCGCGGACATCCAGGAGCCTGGCAGTGTGATGATGGGAAATGTATTTCTCTGAGCTGGCTTTGTGATGGTGTTGGTGACTGCTTAGATGGCTCCGATGAGGTTAATTGTGGTGTGTACCACTTATTATTTTTTAATCTCTAGTCATAATCTGTTTATTAACAGCACTGATTAATATCAACAGTAAAAGTGAAACAACCAAATCACTACATAGCCTTATGCCATATGTGTTAAACCCGGTGTTAAATTGGCTCAGGTGTTACAGGTGACTCTTTTTACCCACTTCTCCATTTTTCAGAATTACCTAAAATAGATTATTAGCTTTACTGACTTTTTTTTTTCCTAACTTCTTTGGGGTGAAACTTAAGTATACAAAGTTGTGGCTATATCTCCAATTATTATCATCCCTCTCAATTCTTGGTTTTCTATACATTAAGTCCATGACTAAACCATAAATCCCTAAATAAACAAGTCCGTAGTATAGCATTTCTCTCTCACTGAGCCAACTCCTGTCTTTTAGAGATATTGACAGCATGTCCAGACCAAAAAATCCAGTGTCCAGGAAATTCTCAGTGCCGTGATGCTTGGGAACTCTGTGATGGCCATATGGACTGTGAAGATGGGTTTGATGAAGCACACTGCCCCTGGCTCCATTGCCTGGCTGGGCAGTGGCAGTGCAAGAACAAGGTGTGTGTCATGGAGAGCTGGAAATGCAACGGCATCAATGACTGCGGTGACTCCTCGGATGAGGAAGTCTGTGGTGAGTCTCGCCCTCCCCCTTTCTTTTAAAGGGAAGGTCGTTTCTGGTGGGCTGCTTTTTGCAAGTTGCATTTTAATTCGTATGACTGAGACTAGCATCCTATATCTAAAAACAAGATGTTTCCTAGCAATAACCAAGATTTAGTTATCCATGGAAACATAAAACAGTGCTTGAATAGCAACTCAAAGCATTTGAATGGACACTCAAAGCATTGCCTAGAATGTTTCCACAATTCAGTTATGGCCAATGGCTAGAACACCTGAGCACCAGTGTATGAAGGAAGCCTCCTAACAGATGCTTGACATCCTGTGTAGTGAATTATGGAGGGGGAGAATTCCTCATTAAAGGGGGAAACCCCCAAAGAACTTGGCGAGTAACACATTCCTTTTCTTTACCTCACATGCACAATAAGGGTAGAAGCTCCAACTACTCAATGAACCTCAATCCCATTCAGTCTTACCTATCTAGAGTTAAATCTGCAATATTGAATATATTGAGATTCTAACATTTTTATAATAAGATATAAACCTAGTTTCTTAAGAGAATATGTCTTTTAGGGCTAGTATTGACTGACTTTAATACCATTTTAATTAGAAAAATTTAATACTATTGGGTTGTCGGAAAAGTCATGACGTATTTTTTCTATGTTTTTCACTGCAAAAATGCGTCATGACTTTTTCCAACAGCCCAGTAGTTCAGTTCAGTTTTAATACTGTTTTAACCTGGTGCCCAGATGTCTTAACATCTTTGTTTTCAAGTCTTAAGTCCCAGTTCCCTGAATGCTCTGCTTAAAAAGATAAAACATTCTTTCCTACGTAGACTTCCTTGGGTTATAGAAAGATTGCCACCTTACCTACTGTAAGATTTGTCTACTCCTACTCCTCCCCACCGCCCCGTAACTGTTAGTGAACAAGAATGCTTAACTTCCTGTACAGCCTCCTGTCCAGAAGGCATGGTTAGATGTGATAAATGGAAATGCATCCTAGAATCCTTGATGTGTGATGGAGAAGCAGACTGTGCAGATGGTACTGATGAGCCCTCTACATGTGGTAAGAACCCAATTGCTTGGCTTTATGTGGGAGGGGGGAGAAGGAGATTAAATAACTTGGTGCCTTAGTTATCGGGGGGCAGCGGGGGGGATCCATGCTCTGAGGGAATGCTGGGACTAAAAGTCCTACACAAGCAATTATCCTTCAGTGATGGGTCCCTTACATTTTATAAGCTCCACTCCTTGGCTTTGGTCTCCTGAGTGTGAGCAAATGTTCCCCGAGCTGTAAAACTTTGGGAGTTATTTTCATGGTGTAGCTTTAGGGAAACAGACTAAACACCTCAAACTATATTACTCCTAAAAAGAACACAGATTTGCCACTGGGAGGCAAATGATTTGTTCAAGACAAAGTGGCAAATTCTCTAAGGATTTAACAGAGGGAAGACTGAGGAAGNGTTTGGAGGAGGTGCCGTTTAAAGCCCGAGTTGTTTGTTTTCCAGGAGGGATGCTAACCATTCGAATTTTTGCCTCACCCGGTGGAGCAGATCTGCTGTGGCAGTAAGCCCTTGCTCTGTGGGGTCTGTTTGCTCTACTCCTGAAAAAGGATTAAAGTTATTTGTGTTCTTTACTAAGCTATGCTTTCCAACGCCTTCTGGTATGAAGACATCTTTATAATGTCTGATTTGGAACAGCACATGATCCTTTGTATATTGCTTTGTGTATTGACAGAGTATGAAAAAGCTACCATAAATTTAATGCATAAATAACTATGTTAACAAATAAATTTCTTGTTTATTCACAGCAAGCATCTACCTAAATTTGGAAAGTAATGTTTGAGACCCATCTGCAGATAATATGTAGAATCTATTAATACATGCATATTTGGTCTCCAGACTGAGAATCACCAGGGCTAAACATTTTTTCAAGGTGTGACTCATTTAGCAGTGTGAGTCTTTGAGGGCTGACTGCAATTGGGATCCTCCTGAAAGGATCTGCTGGAAGAGGGAGCAAAAGAATTAATGCTGTATAAGCATTTATGTGGTAGGTACTGTGCCAAGTGGCTTTGGGCTCATATAACCCCTGAATCTTCTTAGGATTACTTATTTACTAGCCTCATTTTCTAGACAAGAAAACCGAGGTCCAGAGAGAGGAAGTAACCCTCCCAAGGTTGTGTTGTTAGTAAGTGGGCTAACCAAAACTCCAACCTGGGTAGCCTGACAGCTGAGCCTGTGCCCTTGTAGTAGTGGTTGGTGACATCATCTGCTCTCAATTTCATGGTTTTGGTTGAGTTAAGTGAGATTACCTGGATGGTATGTGAGTAGATGGCAAAGTTATTATTTATCCATTAATAATCAGTACTTCCTGGATGTTCTATTTAAAATAGCTTTATAAGGGTGACCGGTTAGCTGAGTTGGTTAGAGCATGGTGCTGATAACACCAAGGTTGCCGGTTCGATCCCCGCATGGACCACTGTGAGCTGTGCCCTCCTTAAAAGAGTTAACTATACTATTGTAGCATGAAAGCAATGTATAACCAATGACCATGGCTGTTCCCCAGTAAAATTGTTTTAAAAAATAGTTCTTATAAGCTAGCCTTAAAAAAGCAAACATTGAGTAACTGCTGAAAGCACTATATTAGAGGGATACAAATATAAGATGAAGACATGGTGCCTTACCCAAGAAGGTATATTTACACAGTGACCTCCCATTGTCAATTTCCATTACATAGCTTTGTGTACCACTTTCCACTCCATGTGCACAAATTGCCCCTGGGAGTAGTTCTGCTGGGTCTTGGCACAGACCTCTACTAGTACAGATCATGTGGCTTATGTTTAGTGGGAACCAAGGATTGGCTTTTTCTCTTTGAAAGTTAGAACCGTATTGTAAATTAATCACAGCCAGCCTTTCCTGAAGCGTCCTTCTGAGGACCACGGTCCATAACAGGCTTATTTTTGACCACTTATCATTCAAGATTGATAAACACAGGTTCACGACTTAAATAAAACTGATAGTACAGATCAACCTCTTACCAATAACTGAAAACTTGCAAATATTTGTAACCAGGCTATTTAGAGGCATTTTTATAAAGATAGTGTGTAGGCCCAAACACCCAAATCTCATTTTAAGATGTGTCTTCACATGTCTAAGAGTAAACAAGAATCAAGTACTTTGAACCTAGACCTCTAAACTTGCAACTATTCATACACTGAGTCTTTAAGACCAAACCAGAGGTGGAAGAAGTTCACATAACCCTATAAACACAAGTGTTAAGTGTGCCCCATTCTAATAGGAAAACAAGGAGGCAAATGGCAGTACTCCAGCAACATCTCCACAGCACCAGAAAGAACTGATCCCAAAGATCGTCACTGGCAAACTCGTGTGGGTATTTAGGGTAACGAATGCCCTAGTGTTCTCCTGGGTATTAATTGGAGAAAGGTCTTCCAAAATGACCACTGACTGCAGCTTATCATGAGAAGGTGCTCTCTTGTACCCAAGGAAGCCAGGAGCCCTCATGGCTTTGCCTCTTGGTCGTCCAATGCAGATGAAGCACATTGTAACATGACAAGGCAAGCTGCATGTGGTGAGAGATGCATTCCTGTGGCCTGGCTCTGCAATGGAGAGCAAGAGTGCCCTGATGGGACAGACGAGCAGTGTGGTAAGCACTTCCCATTCTGGATCACGTACTCGTCCATATCTGGCCCTTGCCGCTATGCACTTGGTCAGCACTGTCAGTTCTCGTGAAAACCAGCCCTTACTGCTATGCACTTGGCCAGTACTTTTGGTTCTCGTGGTTTTNACTGTTTATAACAATAATAAAGCTGCCATCTCTATGTATATATAATTTCATTTAGCTGTGATTTAAACCCAGGTCTATCATATCCAGTTCCAGCTACTTACCACTAGCTTCAATGACTTCCTGTGTGGAAAAGTTGTCTGTATTCTTATAACCCTGAATTGCACTATTTGTGTCATGGAACACCATTAAGCATCTGAAGTAATATGGTTCCAAAGCAGCATCATTTCAGCAGAAATCAATATGACATCTCAGGAGCTTGTTGTTATAAGCAGAAAGCTTATGCAATCAGAGCCTAAAACAAATTTAAAGAAATCTTGGGAGCATATGGCCTTCTGCTGCCTTCAAAGTGTGGTTTGATGGGACCAGCAGTGAACATGAAGAGGAGGTATGATTTAAAAGAAAGCTGTTGGTGTACTGTGTTGCAAATAAAATCGAAGAAGGCACTTTGCAATTCACTTCTCCGTTTCTATTTTTTCCTAGTGTTTTATTGCTGCCTTTCATTCCCAAACACTATAAATGTTCCTTGCCAGTGTTACATTCTAAATTATAACTCCATCGTGTTTCTCTCCAAGAATGTGACACTGATTTCTCATATATGGGAAAGAAGGAATGTCACAGCTTAGCTAAGGAAGAGGGTGGGAGGGTGTGGTCTGTGCCTGTGGGAATGTGTCACAAACTCTCATTTTTATTCATCATCTCCTCCTTAAACAGCAGCATTTGGATAAAATGACCTCTAAATTTTTCCAGTGCTATAAATCTACCACCCGACCAGGATTATGTTTGACTCTGGTTTGGACCCATCAAATTCAATCCATTCCATGTCCAATTGTTGATTAAAGCATTCCACTCCTGGCAGCGATTCAGACTCTAAGGGCATAAATGGTGTTTTTCAGGGCTTTTGTGCTGTTACCTTTCTTATGCACAGTTTGCTGCTCACCAACCAAAGAAGACTGACATCTCAGAGCTGTCATTACAGACCCAGGGTCATGATAACCTAATTCTCTCCAGGTGTGCTGGGAGGACAGGAGATAAGGAGGGGGTCCTCTCGCAGAGAACAGCCCCCAAAACAGCAGTAACAGTGATGCCCTCAGTTTGGAAACTACGGAACCCCTGCTTTTCACAGTGAGGTCTGAAAACTAGCAACAGAGGCATCACCTGTGAGTTTGTTAGAATCTCACACACCCCCGCCCCAGACCTGCAGAAGCGGAGTCTGCGTATTAAGGAGATATCAGGTGATTCTTGGGCATATCAAAGTTTGAAAAGACTTTTTTAGTTAAGTGTCGCTGACCACCCCTGCCTTGTCCCCAACTGTGGCAAGGGCCCTGAATCAGCTGGATGTCTGCTGTTTCATTGCAAGAAGGGCCCGGCATCCTGGCCACTCCCCGAGGAGCGGGAGAGAGACGGACAAGAGACTCAGCGACGTCCCTGCAGCCTCCGCTCCTACCTGGGCGGTGCTCCCCCACGGAGCGACGGCGCCAATTCTTCCCAGCCCCTCGCCCCCACCCAGACGTCCCCAATGAGCGGCGGGAACAGGAATAAAGCCCGCCTCCGGTGCCCCCGCCCGGGGTTTCCTCAGGCAAGCGCGGCTCCAGCCTGGAAGCACCGCACACAGCGCGGTGTCTCCCACGCTCAGTCCTCTCCCAGTCCATGGGTCGCCGGGCGTTCCTTCTGTTCCAGCTGCCGGTGCTGGCCGCGCTAGGCTGCCTCAGGGGCTGCGAGGCCGGTGAGTGGGGCTAGTGCGCGCGCTGGGGAGGGACCCCACACCGCTCTGCAGGGAGCAGGAGGCGCAGGCTGCGGGGCGCTACAGGGGCAGGGGGCGGAGGAGAACTTGGGGACCCTTGCTGGGTGTTCAGCCACACACCCCCAAACACACATTGTGCGGTGACCTTTTATCTAGGAGGGCGAGGCTGGCCTTCTGAAGGGACCTCCAGGTGAATCTCGTGGACCCTGTTTCTCTGCCGTCTATCCCGTACACGCCTGCGGCGGATGGGAGGGTAGGGGCACTCTGCGGAAGAATTCGGTGTCTTTCCCTCTCTGATCCTCAAGCGCGTGGGAAAGGACGCTCTCGCCACACCTGAGCGCAGGGCGCACCCTCCTAATCCCCAACATCCAGGTCGAGTGGGATTCGCTTTCTAGCCCGTCTCTGATGCGCTCGC